GTGCAATCCCTTCACTCTCCAGGTAGTAATCGGCGGTATCAGCTCTATGGGACGGGCGTTATCGTCCATTAAAACAAAAGTAGGGCCACTGCTGCAGCGTACAATTTCACAATGGGTTCTAGGACTTCTCTCGATACCGGACAGCCGTCACAGAACCCGTTTAAAGATAAGCAGGTCGGTGCGGTATCCTAATGAAATCCCTGCCCACACATAATGCTTCCGCCTCGGAATGCGTGATGTTCAGTGATGTTTTGGAGCTGATTGCGTGTTCCTTGTTCCCACCATATTCTTATACGCTTGTCATCTGGCTCCAGAGAAAATCTTGACTCATCAGTAAACATGACATTGCCCCAGTCAGACACAGTCCAATTGCCATATTCCGGCACCACTTTAATCGTGCCCTCTTGATTGACGGATAGAGGAACACAAATCGAGATACCCGAGCATATAGTCCATTCATATGTAATCTTCGCCTTTCAGTAGCTGCAGATATAGCCTTACATTGGACGCTGTAACCATAGATGTCACACGTGTGGAGGTCGCTCGGCGATTCCGCTTGGCTACAATAGCAATATATAGATCTTCCGCGGGCGTTGTAACCTTGGGCGACCACTATGGGCCTTCGGACAACTGTCTGTGGGGTTTGGAATTGTTTCCATAAACGTGGAATTACAGAATGATGAACGCCGAAGAAAAGAGCAACATCTGTGATCGACTGTTCTGCTTCAATACGCCCCACAGCACGCCAGTGCACAGAATCTTCCATTCGTTTTCTGAAAATCGTAGAAACACGTATGTCTTGAAAAGAAATTGTACGAAAGTTTTAAACACCTTCTATCAGCACTTACAATCAATTTCTGTAACTCTTTATAAAGCTGACTTCTTATAAGACTGCCCTTTTTGCATATTTCTTGACATGAAAGCCCGATTGGCTGTTACCTAACATATTTGCTTATTTCCATCTACCTTGCAGCGAATTGCATCCTCTTCAATTCTGATTGGCTTCGGAAAATAGCATTTTCCTCTCTGTGCTTAACTTTTGGAAGTGAGTGTATATATATATATTTATTAAAAAGTTATCTTTATTATTGATGTTTCTGATTTAATGTCTGAGAAAACCGATAAAAGGTGCCACCAATGAAATAGTTCTCACTGGAAACTTGCCATAACTGCAAAGGCTTAGCTGTTAACCTACCGAGACTCGAGACAAAAATAAGAGCTTGATAGTTTGTAAGAGGTACTTAAATAGTTGTTTTGATCACACTCTGATGCAGAAAAGTGTAACTTTTTTTAAATTTATAGAAGCTGAGGGGGGGGGGGTGATAGTGATACTTTAGGAACAAGACACTACAATCAGAATTTTTTTCAGTATTAAGCAAGACTGAAGTAATATTAACTTAATCTTAGTCTTTAATGACACAATACATTCAATTCATAAATTCAACATGAAAATTAAGTTTTATTGGCATTTTAGGTACATATTAGTAGTATTATTAAAATAACATTATTTTTTTTCCGTGAGAAATGCCTTGAAACCATTTCTAGTAGTTGTAAAGCATAGAAAAACATTGTACAGTTGTTAAGGCGAGTATTTCTCATTCATCAAATTGAACTCAAATCAGTTTCATCGAGATTCATGAGCTCTAAAATTTCATCTGGTGTCAAATATTTCATTGAAAAATACTTATTAAATAAAAAAATATCATAAAAAATATGTAAAAAGGAAAATCAAACACTTCTACTAAAGATTTTAACTCAAGAAATACTTCTATCAACCTTCAAATCCCCAAAAAAATATAACTAAAGATTAAAAAAATTGACTTAAAAAGTATGTTCATAAGTGATCGGGCCCATTGTATCACAAGTGATACAAACAAATTTCGCAAGTCATTATGCTTTAATATTTCACCAAAAATTTCTTTGTTTGCTGTTAACTAGTAAAGTGTACATATACAAAGAAAATGCATATTTTAAAAATAGTTTAATACGTATACATAGATAAGGAAAAAAATACTTCGATGATGTGCACACATGTTGTTTTGATTCAGAGACGCTACTAGAAATCGTTATTATGGACAGGTACTGCCATGTGTTGACTAAAGGAGGAAATTATATGATGTATTTCACTTTGTATTTTATGTGATGGGACCGGTTCCAAATTTATTTTTGCTGTTCAGCCTTCACAAAAAATTTTGAAACTTTAGTATCACATGTGATACAAGGGAACGAGGAGGTTAAAATGTAGCCCTTTAGATAAAGAACAAAAAAAAAGAAAGACGTTCTTGATCATATAAATAAGTACAATATTTCTTAAGAAATTTACATGGTTATTCGCTCCCAGAAGAAAACATTTTATATGAAAAAAAATGAATGTTTATAATAAAATTAAATGAAAAAAAAAGAGAATATTCCCACGTACACACATTCAGAGAATTGGTAGAAAAGACTTTAGACACGCGAAAATGAATGAGATTTATGAATTTTATTTATTATTTGATTTTCCTCTGAACATGTTTAAGTACGGAGACAGATCTAAAATATCATTACATGTTTTTCCATGCTTGTAAATATCAAATTAAGCCATAATTATTAATATAAAATGAAGTTATTAGCAACAAATTTCAATTTTTATTTATTTTTACAGCGCACTTTTATGAACAAGATAAATACATTTTTTACTAAGCAAAACGTTTTAAAATGTATTTTTTTAAAAAAAAGTCAAACACAGACTTTTTAACATAGAAGTTTTATAAAAACAAGTAAAGTAATTTCATATTTTGATGGATGAGATTTTTCAAAGCATCCTATAAAAAAGATAAAGCTCATACAGTATATTCAATGTTTTAAGAACACCTACTATCCAAAATAATAATAGATATTTTCAGTCATTTAAAAAAAGAAAAAATCTTCAAAGAATTTTTTTTCATTGTAAAAATATTTTTTACATGCGTCACACTAGACATAGCCTGAATTTGAAACATCTTTCAGGAAGTTTCAAAAACGTCATCTATATAATGATTACAAACGACTGTAGAGTTTTTAAAAATTCTATTTAAAAAGCTGAATTTTCAAAAATGATTTATTGCAGATCTGTATGCGTGTACTCAATATTTTTAACATACTCGTCCACTTTAATGGTACTGTATGTGTGTTTTATTTCAAGAAAGATCAATCAATAAAAGTCTTGTCTGAACTTTGATAAATGCTCTTGTATTTCGTCCATTCCTCAGAACAAGACTAAACTATCAACTAACAAAGCCAGAAGATAAAAAAAAAAACAGATTTTAAGACACATAACTATAAAAAAATGGTGGATATGTATATTGAACAAGATTTAAATAAACGTATGTATAGCAGGAAACAGTTAGAACTTTAATGGAAGAAAACAAAAGAGTCAATGGACTAAAATGGAGACCTATTTTGATTTCTAACGCTGTTGCTGAATTAGGGCCAGCAAATTAGTGTTAAATATACTTTACGGATCCACCTTCCCCGTACAGCAGAAACTTTCGACATAATAAAAAACAGAGCCATATTGAATGTTAGGCCTAAAACTAACACAGGTGTATTTTGCAACAGACAGAAAAATGAAATAAAACTAAATTAAATTATGAAAGAAAAGGTTTCTCACAAAAAGATGACTATAAAAATAATTTTGTTAAAAAAAATTATGCAAAAACTTACATGAAAGAATGCTAACCATAAGAGAAAAAAAAATGTCATGTACCTTTGTCAAGCACGCACGCCAAATGATGTGTTAATATTGGAGTGTTAAACCAGAAACAAAAAATAGGGGCGCCACCTAGATTGTTTTATTGTAAATAAACTAAGCAAACGATATCATATTGGAATCAACAAAAGTTAGAAGGAGAAAAATTAACAAAGAACTATATTTAAAAATTAAAAGAAAGAATTAGAGAGTTAAAATAACACACACACACACACACACACATATATATATATATATATATATATATCTTGTTCAAATTTTCAATTGTTAATAAAATACTTTCTATTCATCCTTTCAAGTTCAAATACATTTATTTAAAACTTGTAGTGGGTGACACTTGACATTAATATAGTTTTTACAAATATTAATTCATTAATTAAATTAAAAATGAATAAATAGTAACAAACAAAAATAATAGCCCAACAGTATATATAGAAGTTAAAATAGGTCGTTGCGTCCCTGTAGCGTAATGGACATACTTTTTTAAAAAACAACCATTAAATAGTTTTAAGTCATATTTTAGAAAATTGTCTCCAAACCCAGTCGGATACCCTAATTCACTTTCTAATAGCATTATTTTTCAATTCCTACTATTAGTTCACTCTTTTCTTATATATATTTGTAATGACTCCCTCTAGCATTCTTTAAATTAACTCCTTTGAAATATTTTCTTTGGTACAAGACTAATGTGATAATCTTAATCTTAACTTAATTGCTCGCACCATTTGCAACCAATCACGGCTCCTATTATAAAGGAATCACACGACCTTCACCGCCAGTAATTAAACCCAGAGCGCTGTGTGCTCTCTATCTTTGTTCTTTGTCTGCTCGCCAAAAACATGTCCTCGACGCTACTGCCTGTTGCTTCTGCTATTTGTGTTCATACCTTTACGAATTAATTATGCTAAATTATATTACATTTCATATATTTGTGACCATGAATCATAGAAACTTAAAACTAACCTTGAAGCTTGAAACAACCAACATAAATACTCCTCGGTGAATCTACATGTAAAGAACCAACACCGGCCACGTTACAAAATAATTCGCCAGTTTACTATATATATCGTTCAAATTTTGAATCGTTAATAAAATAGTTTCTATTTATTCATTCAAGTTTAAATGTGTTTTTTTGAACGTAGTGGATGACACTTGATGTTAATACAGTTTTCTTCAAATATTAATTTATTAATTAAATAAAGAATGAATTAATAGTAACAAATAAAAATAACAGACCAACAGCACAAAAGAAAGGAAAGTCATTCGCTGTGTCCCTGTAGCGCATTTGCTAGTGCGTTGGACTTCTAATCCAAAGGTCGTGGGTTCGAATCCCACCTGGAATGGCTTAATTTCTGCGAATGTGATTTCATTTTTACTATACTGTTTTATTAGAATAATTAAATTTAGTTAATGAATAAAGTAAAAAGCAAAAAATATTCCAACATCATTTATAGAAAGGAAAATGGAATTGCAAGGAAATTTGCTGTCTATTTTGTCACTTAATCTTGCGATTCTATCATATGTATATACATATTTATATTATTTGTAACTATTTAATAAAAAGTAACTAAAATAAATTTTTATTTTTTGACCTAAGTAGGAGTTGACTTAATTTTTTTCCTTCATTACTTTTTAAAAATATACTTAGTAAAAAAAGTTTCATTTTGTTTAAATACATTTTAACTTTATTTTTTAAATAAATACAAAGTTATAAAATAAGAGCTTTTTCACATCAAAGACAGATATCTTTTTACTAACACCATTCTATAAGGCAACACGAGAGCTATGGGCAACGGACCTCGTAATTTTGAACCTCGATCAAGTGATGAAGACGTCACTTGAGCTACCACAATCTCTCCTAACTACCACACACACAGGAGAACAATGCGTCCCTATAGATTTTATGTGCATTGCCTCCTCTACACGGCAAGTCTTCAGTGGCACTGGAGTTCAAACTCATAACACTCCAGCCACAAGTTCGCTACCATTATACAGCTAGGCTAAGAGTAAAAAATATGTTGACAGTTTGTTAATATTAATTATATTTTTTTTATACTAAACACTTAACTCTTTGTGTTTGAAAGAAATGTGATTTTGGAAACTTTAGGAGTTAATTGATACTTAAGTGGTATTCTCTGAAAATGGAATTGTCGGTAAAAGGCATTAAAAAGTTTTTGGTTAGGTATAAAAAACACACGCAAAGAAAAAAGAGAAGTTTTTTTTTAAAATCTTTATACAGGGTGTCTACAAATTAGTTCTGCAAAATGAATAATTTATTTCAAGTAATATTTCAAAAGCTTCAGTATGTCGCCTATTGACCAGTGTTCTTGCTCCAGTGACACAGCCCAGGATGTCAAGCATCTGATATTTGCTTGAACTAAATTCTCTTCCGAAAGACGTACTCTCATGAATTGCCTACAAGATAACAATATAGCGTGGCCTCCTCCTTTCTCTGCCTTTGTTCAGAGTAAATCTTCTTTTACATCGTTTTGTGCATACATTAATAATATTTCCCTCCGTATTATTTAGATTGTAATTTTTTTGGCGTGTGTTGATAACATTTACTGTACGTTTATGTATATACGTATATTTGCAACTGCGTATGTATATATATGTCTGTGTGTAAATGTATATAGGTATTTGAGAGTGTATGTATGCTTTATGCATTTGTATTTTGAAAATCTTATTCTGATCACACATGTGTTTCTAAACCTTCACCATCGTATAATTTTAATTACTGACTGTCTCCGTTTTTGCATGTAAACAATCTTGTATTTGTTCAGTATTTATTGTATTTGCATCCATTCTTGTTTCTTTTTACCTTTTGATTTCGATTTGTGCCTGTATCCCTCTACTTGAAACCTCCTACCACTATTGATTGAGTATTGACTTACGTTTGTAAGCCTTGTGTTATACTTGTTGGCACACAAGGAGTCTACCTAGAGTCTCAAAAAAATATACTGAAAAAAAATTGGAGTGCATACTGTTGTAAGATAATGAAACAATCCAAGTTTATCATTATCACAAATGTTCTATGCGGCTTTCTTTCGTTACACCGCAAATGTCTCATCGGTAAATCAGTTTTTACCACAGATGTGTCAGCAAGTTTCTGTCGTTCAAATTAATTGCAGAGCAGATTCTTAATTTTAGTTCAGGAATAGACGCAAGAAATGGCGGAATGCACACTTAATCTCTTAGAAAACCCCATACACTGAAATACAGTCTTGAAAGATCTGGTGATCATGGTGGCCACTGAATAACACCTCCACGACTAATCCAAACTGGTACTTCCACTTTGAGGTGAGACCATGGTAGTGACATGGCGTGCCATCCGGTTGCAAATTTAACCTCCTTGCGCTTATTCTTTGATGATGGGCTTTACAAAAATCTATAGCGTTTCCAGATAAATGCCATGAAACAATAATATCTCTTTTCGGGGCTTTTTTCTTGAGTTGTGGAACAAAATTTCGTCGCACACGAACAGCAGATCGTTTTTCAGGAAACCAAAGACAGCATGTTGCCTTTTCAGCTCCATTGTACGTCTCCATGCCAAACACAGAATAACTATCGCTCTCTAAAAATATCGTCAGTTATAATACCTAACGCCATCTATGAATGAAGTTAAAATACATTGCTACTGGTCTGACTTTTAAAAGGGTTATTGTTAATTTTATTTAATATTTCGGAAGTTCTTAACTTACAAAGTTGCCTACTAATTTGTAGGCACCATGTCTAGTCAGCATCTTATTCGTAATACACAGAATTGCTAGATACATTCACAAACGATATTCTCTCTGTAAGAAAAATAGTTGATTACCATATTAGACTTAAAAGCGACATCCACAAGATCATGAATGAGACTGATCTTAATAACGGCAATTTCTAGAATATTATTCAGGAAGAATTCTCGTATTAAAGGTTTGAATGCAGTAGTTCCACCTTTATTGACTTTATGAGAAGCAAAAAGGGCAATCTGTCAAGGGAGATTTTATAAATCGTTTCGAGTTCGATGAAGAGGATTATTTTTGTAGTCAGCTAACTGTGGATGAATACTGGATAAATCAATATGATTTAGAGACCAAGTATATGAGCCAAGAGTGGAAGTACAGTGATTCACCATCTCTCAAGGTATTAAAGACTGCAGGACAAATTATGCTGTCTGTTTTTCAGAGAGTCATTTATGCAGACGACTGAGAAGTGTCACACCACCTCTTGTCATGTTACTGTCCATTGCTGACCAAATTGCTTTATGGTCTGATTGAGAAACAACGGGATATGATCATCAAAGTTGCCTCTCTTGCAATAATGCACCTGCTCACTCATCTAGAAGTGGGAATGAAAGATCCAAGAGATGTGGCTTTGAAATTTTGCCACATCCACCCTATTTCATCTGATCTTGCTTAATCATACAACTCATAATCCCATTGCAGATTTGGAGATTTGACAAATAAATGATATCATGCAAGAGGTGAGATAGTGATTTTCGACGCAATCTGCTGGCCCTACAATGACGGTATTCGAAAGGTCGAGAAATAATGGGAAACATGATTTATTTTGAACGATGACTATGTAAAGAAGTTTTAAGACTAAGAAAATAAAAATTAAGTTTCTATGTCGATTATTTCTTCGTTAAGTTTTAAAAATCCACGATATTCCCCAAAGAAGCCCAAATAATGTCACCTGAAAAAGAATTTTTAACATTATATATATTTGTTATTTAAGAACTTAAATTATTTACTGAAAAAAAACCAGCAAAGATTATTTAATATTAGCATTAAGCAGAATATAAAGTATAATGATGTTCGCAATTTTTGACTATTTTTCAAATGAATAACATTTTTTTATGGTACTCGCATTAGAGTCAAATAATTTTTTTTTATCATCGTTAGTTAAATGTATTAAGAAGAAACTTTTCAAAAAAGCAAAAAAGATATTTTTTTAACCCCACACACTTCTACAATTTTTTCTGTAAAGAGAAAAAAAAGCTGAAAATCACAAGTGTTAAATTTTTAAAAGTTTTTTTATTCATTTCCTTTACGAAGAGTTTTTTCCCCTTTTTACTAAGTGTTTTTTTTTTTTTTTTTACTGTGCTGTTGAATTTTCAACGATATTATTCTTCATGAACTGATTCGGAGGTTTGGAAATAAAATTTTTTAAACTCGTGAAGAATCTGTGTATGTGTTTTTGACAGCTGGTTCTAATTTGGAATGTTAAAGCTATTTTAAAAAAGTTTAACGAACTTTTTATTTGCAATTAACAAATAATCTAGTCATGCAAACAATTTGTTTCCATTAATCTTCATAAATCAGCAAATTTGTTTATAACTATATCATTAATCTTTAGCATTCTAACTTTTTGGATCATGAACCATTAAATTATCATTTTAAAAATATAGAATAAGGGTCCGATTTATGAGAGTTAACCATTAACTCGTTTTGTTCATTCTTTAATGTAATTTATTTAAAATAAAATTTCTAAGAAAAATTTAATGGATTTTTACGGTTTATAAGTCAGTTATGTATCAGTAACACTACAGCTTGTCATACAGCTGGTTTGCGGGTAGGTAGTGAAAGTCCCCAGACGTTCCATGACGATTGAAAGGGCAAGAGCTTAGGAAAGTGTCCTCGTTTGGAAGTGCGAGCCGTGATTCAATTTTTACGGGCCGCATCTGACATTCACAGTCAAATCTCGGAAGCTTATATGAAGAAGCAATGAGCAGACAACATGTAGCGAAATGGTGTCACTCTTTTCCATCAAGCAGACAGGATGTCGAAAACCGCAATATGGCAGGGAGCGGCCGGTCAAGTTCTTCAACGTCAGAAACCAACACGGCACTAATTGAAGAAATAATTCACAATAACAGACGGGTAACTCTGAGTGAAATTTCGTCAGAGCTGGGACTAACTAACGGTAGCGTGCAGCATATCGTTTTCTGATGTGTTGCGATATTTCAAGAAAACATCCGCCGAACTCGGCTCAATGAACAGGACTGATTTCTACCAAGACGGTTAAACAAGTTGCTTCTGCTTTCTGATAAATGCCTATATACACTGGTGCTTATGTCGAAAATGTGATAGGCACGTATGTCTCTTAAGGTATCCGAACACGTTTGGAGTACTTTTTAACAAAATAGCATACTGAAACATTATAAATGCTCTTTTAGGACTCAATACCAATATAAATATTACTATTAAACTATCAAAATTTAAAATAAATTACCTGAATTTTACAAAAATCACAATTATAAGTGAAATTTTAGCAATATTTTTGAAAAACTTCAAAGCAGTTAAAGCAAAAAGTAATAGACATATATTAGTAAAAATACTACTAAAACAAATTAGAT